ACTGCGTTGCTGGCAGTGCTATGTAGCTGCACGACTCGGTCGTCGCTTCAGTCAAAGTAACCTGAGGATCCTATGGCGAAGTGCAAGCTTATATAGCCAGATGCCCCGCCCAAATTGGCTGTGCCGCCATTGGTTCATTTTTAATACACTGCACGAACCAATGGCCGTGCAGTTTCACTGCGTGATTGAAAAAGGCTTCAGTATTTGGAGAAAAAGGAGTTTTCCCCTTAGCGTCTTAAGCAAGACCCATTACTCGTTCCCGTATCTCAGGGAACCGAGGTTACGTTAGTAACCGAGTATGTTATCTGCTGTGAGACTCACTGCAGAGTCAATGTTGATAACAACTGTGGGACTCAGTGCAGGGTCAGTGTCCTCATTTGCTGTGGGACCCACTGCAGATTCAACACCCTCATCTGTTCTGGAGTTCACTGCAGAGTCAATATAGTTGTCTGCTTCCAGACTCACTGAAGAGTTGATGTTGATAACTGTGGGACTCACTGCAGGTTCAGTGTTGATAACTAGTACTGCCGCTCCCTATACGCAGAGTACGCAGTTTGCGTAGGACACCAACTTCCTGGGGGACACCATCCCAGTTGCTCAAAAAAAAAAAAAAACTTATCGCGCCATTCCCCCATCCGCGCTCGAGACCGCTCGCACCTCATGTTTGCGGCTGAATGCAAATGATCATAATTGATGGATGGACATCTATGCCCGTGAAAAGACATCAGCAATCCGGCGCAGAGAAAAGAAAAAGAAAGAAAGAAAAAAGGTGAAAATGAAACCCGTGCATCACTTTCAGGCACATTCATAATCCTGTGAAACTTTTACGAAAATTAGTGGTGGTTTTAACACGAATAACACAAAAAAATCATGGTTCTTGCAGCCATGGTAACCGCAAATTAACCATGGTTTTGTTACTTCAAATAATAATTTACAAAGAATTATTAAGATAATATTTTTTGTGGTTATAAAAACAGACCATGCATTATATGAAAACAATGAGGCAATAATGACTGCTTATAACAACACTGGTTATAACACTGTTAAAATACATAATGTAGGCTAATACAAAATAAACAATTTATGTACATTACATGTTATTACAAATGCCTGCAAAGGGAGCCAAAGGCCTGGTAATTGCTGCTGCTACACATTCAGGACAATCAAATCCTTGTTTATGATTTTGGCCAAACATTTAATTCAAATATTCATTTAATCATTTTTGGCCAGCTTTTTGCTATAGATAACACAGCCTCTATAATTTCTTCAACAAAAAACATGTGGACATCACAACCCTTACAAAAATAAACCATGGTTTTATCGTAGTAAAACTGCTTAATTTTCTTTTGCGTGATTTCTGAATGCTTGAGACTATAAAATCAATTAGACAACTGTATTAATAAAGTCATAGCCATAGGTAACTGTCTAGAGCTACAATTGTAATTTGTAAATAATACAGTTTATTTATTTATTTACTTTTATATTTTATTAAAGTTCTATTTTGACCCCCATAGTAGGTGTTTTTTTTTTTTTACTTCCATAATATTTCAGGAAGGGGGGCACAACAATACAATCCTACTTAGGGCACCCATTTGGCCAGCAGTGGCCCTGTTGATAACCATTTGACTCACTGCAGAGCAAAAGTCGGCATCTGCTGACAAACTCACTCTAGAGTCAGTGCCAACATCTGATGACGAGCTCACTGGAGTGTCCTGCTCCAGCTGATCCTAGAAGACCTCAGAGCCACTAGTGACTGGCACTTCCTGAAGATCAGGGATCTCTAAAATACATATGTCATGCAGAGAATACCAATATGAATCAAAAAATCATACTACATAAAACATTGCAGACTCAGTTTTCTCAGGGGGAATTCCCTAAACGACGTAATTTTTTATCCAAATTAAAATGATCAAAAATGTAATGTTTGGCACTTTAGAAAACTATCCTCAGATGCTGCTTAGATCAAAAATATTTAAATCAATTTCATTTATGGTCTTTAAACTGTCACTCTAAAACACTTCTTGTGATGAAAATTATTCTTTATTATATATATATATATATAAAGGCCCATTAGCTAATCAGACACATCGTAAAAAGGAGAATTCCCTCTATTTGAAGAATCATCAATCAACGTATCATCTAGAATTAACTCATGTAGTGACTCTTAAGATCTAAGTTCATAACAGAGGGATTTTACCATCAGTAAGTCTCTGGTATGTTCCCACCACAGCTCTTCTACAAAAAAAGGGGATAGAGGGCCATCTCCAAACCTCCTCCTCCTTTCTCTTTGCCTCTTTTCTCCCATCATCTACCCCACCGGCCACAGCAGGCTTTTCTCTCATTATATAATTCATTCTGAAACCAATTAATTCAAAAACAATTAACGTGTCCGACACTAATATGAGTAATATTATCCTTAAATCTAGTGATGTATTTGCGCTCTTTTCTTTACAGTAAGCATCTCTGGCAAGTCTGCATATTGGAGCAGCAGTTTTGAGTCTAACAGGACACTGAACTCAGAATCATACGTTTCAGACACGAACAGAGTGTGCTGATAGAGCATGAGTGTACATAAGATTTGAGTGACAGGGAAAAGGCTAAGTTTCATTAATAGCAGAATGAAGCTTAATGACTTCGTTATAATGCAATTATTTTAGATTTAAGGCTGGTGCAAAATTGAATTGAATTGAATTGAATTGAATAGAAAAAGGTGCCCAGGCTTTCATGTGTTTCAGTGAGTTTTTTTTTTTTACTGGTTCACTGAAACGAACCGTAAAAGAAACCAGGTTGCAAAAATATGAAGTTCAAAGTCTTAGAAATGTAATCTCTAAATTCATGTTGATTTCATTAATATTTGAAAAACGGTTATACCATTTTAAACACCAAAAAATGATTGATGACTCGAAAATATCATATCAAGATATTTAAAGCATGAATATAAATGCTCTTGTTTGGGTTTCCTATGTTTCTCACAATGGCTTCCAGCATATTTAAAATGATATTTTATAATAAATTAACTTTTTTCGTTCTTTAAAAAAAAACACAAAAAAACAAACAAGTTTATATTTTAAAACAGAGCTGCTTCACTGCTTATTTTTGTAATGAAATTAATTAAAATTACACCAAACTACGTTCCAAATAACTTTCCCACCAAGAATTTTAGCCTTTCTATAATGTCCAGACAGTTGAACTTTAATCTCCACAAAAAATAATTCAGATATTGAAAGTTAATTTAATTTATGCATTTAGCAGACGCTTTTATCCAAAGCGACTTACAGTGCATTGTAAAACATAATGAAAATAATGAAAGTTCATCATAGAAGTGTTTTGTCACTGTATGTTTGAAATGCAACGTACTCCTGAATAGTGGTCGACCGATATATCGGCCGATATCTGCCATTTTTTCAAATATCGGCATCGGCCGATAAGTTTTTCTGTTTGGCCGATGTGTTCGAGGCGGGACTTTTATTTTGACGGCGCCGAAAACGGCTGCGGCAGCGCCTGAGCACACAGTGCTCACATTCTCCCTCTTGTTTGCTGTTGTCATTCAGTTCTGTCTAATACGGATAGAAGTCTATCTAATAATCAGATAGAACTGTTAAACAAAGGAATTAAAATGTATACAAAAAAGTATTATAACGATTGCTTTAATATTATTAAAGGCAAACATTATAATACTTTCTCGTTTGCCGTCAGCATTCCGCAAATACGCATCTATATAATTTAAACAAATCTTTGAATGACTAATGAACATTTAATTTAACAAACCTTGCAGACTTAGTCGAATCTATTTGAGATCGTGTGAAGTGTGCATGTGACCTGCATGATCGCGTGTTCTTTGACGGTCGGTCCTATGGTCCGTGCGAACTGAATACGGACAGGAGAGTCGCGCGATCGACAAACTTTAAACTCGTGACTGATTTCAAATTATGCTGCGCTTTATGCATTTGCCCACTGTCATATTCATGTCATTTTCACTGTGTGTTGTATGTAAAATGAGTGTTACCTTGGCTTTATTTGAAAAAAATTAGTCCCAATGCTCACAAACTTCCCAGAATACCGAGTGCCCAGTTGGTTACAGTTACTTCCTTTTTAATTATATTTTTATTAAATATGTATTTATTTGTGAAAAATACTTTGTCTTCTAGAGTATAAGTATGTTTATTTACACGTTTTTCCATTTTCAAATGATTTAAAATTTCTTAAATATGAAAATTAAATTAAATTAAAAATTATATCGGCTTTATATCGGCATCGGCTGTCAAAAAAACCCATATCGGTCGACCACTACTCCTGAATAATAATAATAATAATAATAATAATAATAAAAAGGTGTCGCGTCAATTGAAACATGCATCACAAAATTCTGGTCCACAATTGTCTTTTACTGATTATGCAATAAACAAAACATTTAGTGTTAAGAGAATAAAGGAGAAGACTGGAGAGATAAATGAAGACTACAACAACATAAAAGAAAATGTCTTTCCTATTGAAAAACAAGATAAAAGGTCATAAAATACTTGCAGGACGTTGTCAACAGGCTGACATTCATCTGAAAGCATAATGAAAACAAATATTGTCTTACTTAACTAAGCATTCATGTTCCAATGCCATTATAAATACCTGTAAAACTGGGATAAATGATATATCAGCTTTGTATGATCTAAAACAGCTCATGAAGCAGAAAAAAAATGGTTACCAGCCATGACATCTCACAAGCATGAATTACCTTAAACATCTACCACGTCGAGAACTAAACAGAAAAAATGACCCCTAAAAATATACAAATCTATTGCATAATTAAACTATAAATCTGTTTGAACCTCTTTGAGACAAAAACCATCATGAGAACACCACAACATGATTATTAATTCCCTTTTTTGCACATTCTCTATCATTACTTTAAATGGCTCTTTTGCAATTCATCTGTACTGTTCAAGAGAAAACTTAAAGTGATGTAAGCAAATACCAACGCAATGAAAGCAACACTCACAAACATCCAACAGCGTTTAACCATTGAGCCTATGAGTGCACACACACAGAACTCTCACTTAACCGCTACACAACAAAACTCTGAAGAGAGAAAAAATAAATTGTTCAATCTTTCATTAAAAGTACATATTCATAAAAATGGTTTCATATATTGCATGGACTATTGGTATTTTATCTTAAGAAAATAGATTGTGCGACTGTAGCTACAATACACACGCTTTGGGAAAGTGGATAAAACACAACGGGGTTTTTCTTTTTAGGTGAAACTAGGGAATCCAGAGGGAGTGTGGGAGATTGTACGTATCAGCATCTGTGCGTCAGTGTGCATTTAACATTAAGGCTCTAAACTCTCATCTGGTTGCTGCCACTGTTAAGTTATATTACACTCCTCTGTCTCCAGGCCCTCTACACACTGGGATGGATGGACTCCCTCTGGGCTCCTCTTCGCATCACTGGCAGGATCAATGGAAGTTGCAGGTCATCTAGTACATTTGTAAAACACTGGGGTTTATAGAGGGCTTGATATTAGGGCTTGGAATAAAAAGAGAAAAAGTGGAGGCTGATTTCAGGGATCCAGGGGGGAGTGGGCAGAGAGGGGGATGCAGTGTCCGGAATTGCTAAACACAGCAAAGCTCAGTTGACTTGGTCCAGAGCACGCAGGAGCTCTTCTCCCTGCAGCAGATGATGGCGGTCCTGCACGGGAGCGTTGACTTCGCAGTCGTAACGCGTTAGCTGAGGCAGCCCGCTGCTGCCCTCTAAAGAACTGCACAACAGGCGACTGGCCACATCTGCAGAATCAGAAGGGAAAAGAGATGAGCGGATTTATTGACAATTGTATATACATGCTAAGATAGAACTCAAAAAAAAATGTCAAGTGGTATTACCATCAAGTAAAAAGTACTAAATTATTTCCCTGTGAACTGAATACGCTTTTGATACCAATTTTGTTAGTATTTTAATATAAAGCTGCTTCACTTCTATGAAGCTTTAATTAAAAAATAATAATTTTATTAGGAGAGCGCATTTAAAAATTCATAAAATACATGGCAGAGTTTTGATGGTCTCATTACTCACCAGAGGGCAGTATGAGAATGGTTTTATTTCCTCCGAGCACACTCGATCCTTTAACCTCTAAAACCTTTGCCCTCTTTCCAGGCTCTACAGCACTGTCCACACTCTGAAGCAAAGCACCCTGCAGGAAATTGGAGAGGGGGTTACATGGAAAACATTTTCAAGAATCATTTCACAATGTTTCACATAAGTTTTTTCTTCTTCGATTTAGGAGTTTATTCGGTAAGTGTGTTTTCATCATAGTTTATTCATTTTTACTTAATCTATTTTCATACTGACCAGTCCAACAGCCTCACAAAGTGATGTCACTTCCTCCAACTTCCTCTTACGTTGGGCATTCTGGATGGCTAACATCTTTGGAGACAGCTCTCTGGGAAATTGGAGCAACAAATACAAAATCAGATAATTTACTAGTAGTGACATATAAATGAAGTCCCAATCCGAGCTCTAGGCTCATGATAGGCTCATTGGCTTGGCTTTAATCTACTTGCAGTTTAATACAGATCAGCCATCCGATCCCTCTACTAAAGAATTGATCTGACTGAGATTGCCAGCAGGAAGTCATGCCAGTGAGAGCTCTACCTGTTGTTGATCTGATTGCTGCTCTGTGGGGCGGGGGACCGAGCAGGGGAAACATCCCGACTGCCACTGAAGGGTGAGACAGGGGCACTGCACACCTCCTGTAGCAGGTGCAGGGGTGAAGGGGCCCGTGATGATGGCCCCTGCTTCACTACGCTGCTGGAGGAAGAGGCTGGAGACGCAGGGGAGGGTAAGGGCTGGAACAGGGAGCTCATGGCTGACACAGAGTGAGGGCCAGAGGGGAGCGGATCCAGCGGAGAGGGGATACGCAGCTGGAAGTCATCATCCATTGGGATGTACGGAGCCAGCATCTCTAGGTCGAGATCCTCCATGGCCTAGAAGTCACAGAAATATGTCTTGTGAAATTCATGCAACGCAATAATGACCAGAGAGAGAGATGTTTCAGATAAAGGGTTACCTGGGAGCTAAAAGGGGTCTTTGCCTCGGTATCAATAGCAAACAGTTTCTCAACCAGGTCCAGTTTGAATTCAGAACTGATGTCTGAGTCTACTTGGAAACAGTAATCCATGGGGCTGTTGGGCTAAGAGAAAAAAAAATACACACTTGAACTAAGTCTTTGAGACACACAAGATCTCATTAACCATTAAAAAGGAGCTGACTACGAATAGCAGCTAAAAAAAGCAAGCGTTTAATGAGTATTTACCGCCGAGGAGCCCAGTCCAGATGTGGAAGGTGTGTTTGTGGAGTCTGAGGCAGAGCTGAAAGGGAAGACCTCCGCTCCGGTCTCTAGTTTGTTCAGAACTGGGGTGGAGTCAATGGGTGTCAGAGGAGACAGACTGATGGGCAGCTTCTCGCTGCTGGAGGGCAGCATGACATCATTGTAGAGGGGCACCTCCTTCAGCAGCTGAATGTCAGAATCTGGAGGAAATTAAATACTGTTAAATTATTATTGGTAGCACACCAAGAAATTGTGTGTATATTTATCATTTATTTCAGAAACTAAGATTATGAATCCATATTTCTCATATAACAGTCTCGGAGGATTAGTGAATGCCTTGAATATGTTTTCAGTCTTTATAAGATTATAAAGTTGGCGAGGGATTGCATTATATATATTAAGGTACACTCCAAAATTTTGGGGCCAGTAAGAATTTCTTTTTTGGGGGGTGGGGGAGAACAATTTAATACTTTTATTCAGCAAGGATGCATTAAATTGATTAAAAGTTACAGTTAAGACTTTTACATTGTTACTAAAGATTTCTATTTCAAATAAATGCTGTTTGTCTGAAATTACTATTCAAAGAATCCTAAATTAAATACTGTGACACTGAAGACTGGATTAACAGCTGCTGAAAATTCAGCTTTGCTATCACAGGAATAAATTACATTTAAGACATCTTTTGTAACAGTTTTGCACGTTAAAGTGAAACCTCTATCATGATCAGGTATGCATTCTGTCCAGGCACTCACAGTTGTGATGTGTCTTGGTGAGGTGATCTGAATCCAGGGCATGATAGTATTCGTACACAGACCTGTTCAGAAGATCATCCGGCTCATATCCCATCAGCTCTGTGATCCTTCGGGAAAGAGTGAGTGAGAGGATTTAGTATGCAATTATAGCTACATGCTGAAACAACTGCCACTTCAACGTGATCTGGATAGGAGACGTCTAATACAGGGGTCTCAATCTTCTTTGTTCTGTAACCCATGTTTTAGTTCTCGCAACACCATGCATTTGGTCTTAATGTGAACAAGAATGCTGAATCCTGTGTATTCACTGTTTGTGGCCAAAGAATTTATGGCAGCTGGGCCTTTACATTGAGTTCACCTCTGCGTCTAGATCACATATGTGTATAATGTAGTATTACGTGCAAGAGAAACGGTGTAATTCACAAACATGTCTAATCTACAGCTGTAACAATTTTGCTCAAAAACAGTGTTTCGAACACTAAAAATATTTAGTATTATTCATATACTATGATTGTATTTATTAAAATGTTGAATATTTGTAACTTATTTTTATATTTTCAGTGTTAAATTAAATTTTAGTTTAAGGTTTTAGTAATTCTGTTGTCTGCTTTTGCCATTTTAATTCGTTTTTTTTAATATTATTATTAATAACTATTACTATATAGCTTTCTTTTTGTTTTGCAGTTTATAGGTGAGCTCAGGGATAGTAACTAGTTATTATAGTAGGTAGATACTACATACACGTACAACAGGAAAGTAAAAAAAAATAAAAAAATCTCCAACAACCATATCTGCATCTCTAGTGATGCCGAAACTGAGGCCCTGTTACGCCTTCAGCAAAGCAATAAAAAAAATAAAAATAATAATAATACTACTTCTGCCACTAGGTGGTGTTAATAACATTTGTAAAAGTACAGAACACAGACTTTTGTGCTTTGGCCTACTAGACTTGTTCTGCAGAACTGCTTTTATTCAAAGAGATGTCAACAACTGGTAGGCACACACAGTATTCATTGCTAGGCATAGATACCATCAAGGCAAACCCAAATACATTAAACAAAGAAATGGGGAAATAAAGTGGGGCAGGCCAAACCATTTACACTTCAACAAAACAAAAAGAAAGAAAAGGAGCTCTGCAGCAATCTGTCTACATAATCCGGGGGAAATATTTTTTTTTTCTGTTTGATGTATCCATGCTATTTTTTTTACATAAGAGCAGGAATGGCCATTTGTAATTTTAATGTGCAAGGCTTCCGATTTCATTCGCTTTATTTTAATTTTTCAGTAATTTTTTTAATTTAAAGTCTTGTTATGCTGCTTTATATTGCAAACTTGTATATTTTGTTATTTTAATCTATTATGATAATCATAAACGCACTGGTTTGTAGCACAAATAGTTTTACCATTTACTGCACATTGTTTTTTAACCTTTTAGTTATTTACCTATAGTGGTTAATAAATCGGAAGTCTTGCACATCACAGGAAATAGCTTTCTTGCACTTTGCAAAATAAGGTGAATATGAGGCCATCACATCTTCCTGCTAACCTTTCATCACAGTACGAGAACTTCATGTCCAGAGTGTGGCGGCTAAGAAAGGTCTTGCTGTCCAGAGGCACCTCGATGTTCGAGGGATGAGGAATGGGCTCACAGATGAGCACAAGGTAGGTCAGAGGAGGCTCTTTAAAGCCAGAGTCTCCCGAACCCTCGCCGCGCTCCTGCACACGGACATGACCAGCACAGTGAAGAACCTGTATCAGAAGAGAGAAGGGGGAAACTTCTGTTCAAAGTCTTTTTTATAGCAGATGTGTCATAAATAACTACTATAAGGATGCTCCGTGCACAATAAGACTCAAGCCAGTTTTTCTTTCCTTCTTCCTTGTTACATTTCCTGTATGCTTTCAATGTCACCAAAATGAATGAACCATTTAAAATCAGCAAATCAGGATAAGACAATCTTATCCTTTTAAAACAAAAATATATCAGGAAAAAGTAATGATAGGGGGAAATTATATACCAACAGATTAGTGATAGTCTGAGAAAACTTTGTTAGCATTCAGACAGCATCTCACCTTCCACGTAGCAGACTTGGTATTGACAGTCCGCCCTCTGCTAGTGAGTGTGCACTTCATACGCAGGAAGAAGCTGCGCTCTGTATTTTGTTCCTTGGTCTTGTTGGATCCTAAACATGGACAAAAAATGTATGCAGTTAATGCATTTACTATTTATGGCTGGTGTATATTTCTGCAGGAAAATGTTGCAGTGTAGCATGTGTGACTTGCCTGTCTTATGGACCAGCATCTCTCTCAGCTCCTCGTGGTCACATGGGTGTGAAAATTCAAAGATGCTGTGACCAGTCAGATCAAACTGAAAGAAAAGATGGCAGAGAAAGTTAGCTACAACTTAAGCCTTAAAGCTAAACAGCAAAGAACAAAAACATTTAGCTACCTGTGTGAGGCCCATGCTCTTGCTGACATTCTCAGAGAGATAAACCATGTCTCCATCTTCAGACAGGACCATAAGGAAACCCTCCAGGGCCTTCAGATAAAAGCTGTTCAGCTGACACTCCAGTTCATTCTCCTTCTCTTCATCATCTGCAAAGCCAAACATCATTTAGCAATCTAATAAGCGTATGGTCACAGCAGCACATTAAGCTTCCTTCACACTGTCAGAAAATATAGTATCTTGACAGTTACAACAGTTTGTCACTAGGCCAGTACTCTCAAAGGGTACATTTTAGTACCTAAAAAATAAATACTAGTATTATTATGCACCCTTGAAACGAAGATAAGGTCCATATTAGTACTTGTTATAAATGCAGGGAAAGAAAGATTTACTTTTGTTGACAACAGTGGGTTTATAAGTGCTTCTCATTGCAAGTTCGGGAAAATGTGTTCTCAAATGCATGTTATAAACATCCCAAAGTCAGAGCAGATGCAGAGATGAGTTTGTGTGGAGCAGCACTTACTGCAAACAGGGCTGTTTCAAGACACTGAAAACACTGGATTATGAGCTGCTTGAGTGTAAATGAACATTTATTTAATTAAATCACAGCTTTTGCAATTTGATAATCATACTAAGCCATATTGCAATTTCAGTTAATCATGCAGCCCTAGAACATACTAGTATCTAAAAGGTACATATTAGTACTAATATGCACTCTTTGATAGGGTTGGGTATTGAAAACCGATTCCAATTCCAGAATTGGATACTTTTTGTAAAATGAACATTTTGATACCGCCTATCGATTCCTGTGCGCGCATCTTTTCTTTTTTTCCATCTGTGAGGACCCCGACTCTGCGATCTGCCAGGACCTTCCTCACTATTCTAAGCGCTCCAGTGGTTAGCTACACTTGCGATCAGCAAGTAACTGTTAAGTATAATATTTGTGATAAGCTAACATGTTGCAAGAGAAGTGTCATCACCAACATGACAAAGCACCTTTAATTAAACATAGTTAAAGATCACGAACACGATTCAAATGCCAACGTGATCTTTCCTAAATGACAACGATTCAGCTGTTAAACCTTTGTGTGCGATCAACTTTCTGTTCGTCCCTGTGTGATTTGAACATTAAAATCTGCGTTCGTGCTGCCGCTGACCTGAAGAGAGCAGCTGTCATGTATATGTATGAAACGGCTTCACAAAGAGTCTTTTCAACCACAGTAGAATTATTTCTGTTACAATCACTCAAATAAATCACAGAAGTACAGGGATAAAAGTTTATAGTTTGGATTATAAACACTGTGTACAGTACGGTATCGACTAAAATAGAGCACATCACCTTTTGAAAGCAATTTGAAGTTTCAAATAAAGATTTATCGATTATGTCGTTATGCCAGTAAGTGGCGAAAAGGAGCTGTTAAAAATGTATGTCTTTGAATCATTCATTCAAGAGATTAATTCAAAAACACTGATTCATCCATTAATGAAACAAGTAAATCTTAAGTGAGTCATTGAATCATTCATTCATAAATTACATGTTATTTATTAATTAAAAAAAAAAAAATGCACACAAACAGCTCTTAATCAAGTCCAGTTTTTATGTAGCCTGCTGATTTTTGTTCATGGTATTCAGTTGCAACTAAATGTTTTGCAAGAAGAGAGACAGAATAAATATGTCTGAATTATTATTTTTTTTTTTTAAACTACATCGGAATCGAAACTGGGAATCGATAAGAATCGGAATCGATAAGCAGAATCGGAATTGATAAAATTCACACGATACCTAACCCTACTATTTGAGGATCCTGCCCCAGTGACAGTGCAGATTGCACGTTTTTTCCTGTTCATCAGCTCAGCGTTTACAATATTTGTTTACAATATCTACTGGTGGCAATGTTTTGATTCCCTTTTGCATGCGGTGTAACTATTTTGCGTATGTAGATGAAAATATTCAAGTGAGCATACTGACCAGAGCTCAGTAGCTTCCTCATGCGCAGGTAGCTGATGGCCAGCCTCATGATGGAGGCTTTGTCCAGGTGGGAGGTGACATTGTGTGGCAGGGGGAGCTGGTGTGCTAACTCGTAGAACACCTCGGACTCCTTTCCCCTGCGAGATCGCGCCGCATCCCTGGACTTCTCCTTCCTGCGCTCCGAGCTCACCCTGAAAAGATAAGGAAGGACAGTGTGGTGTTAGTTTTGCTCAGTGTTTGTGACGAGAGACCTCCTGCGCTAGTGCTTGAAGGCAGCAGCAAGGTCAACTTATTTGAAATTTCTCATTTTCATGGCATCAGAACTTGCAACGTCAGAGGCCAGAAAGATCGTTTCAATGTGACTGGCTGGTGAAAGGAGTGTGGACACACTGTGACTAGACTTGTGCCGGTATTCGGTAATGCGATATATCACGGTAATGAATATGCACGATATTGTTATCGTGGGCTCTTCTAAATACCGTGAATAATTATATATTACAAGTTATTCAGAATTTTGAATGCATTTTAAGAATACTTTTCCCATCAACTGGTCAAAATGCACAACACCGCTGTATGCTGCGTGAAAGATTTCTTTTGCACTTTAATCTGTGTAAAACTTTTAGCTTTATACATTTTTCTGTATTGCTTTATTGCATTTAAATGTTCAGTTATTTTTGTTATAAGAAAAATGTTATTAAACCTGTTATACTGTATTATGACAGCACTTTTTTAAAACTAAAGTTCAATACCGTGATAAAAGCATTAGCAATTAATCGCAACATGAAAATTTGATACCGGCATATCCCTAACTGTGACAGACACGGTTACAATCCTTGGAAGCCAGCCAACAGTGATAAATGCTGTCGTGTAAGACAGTTTTCAAATTTCCCAACATAATCTTTTCGGTGCACTACAAGGACGTTTTACACACAAACAAGCCATAAAGTAACTGGTCTTACAAACAAGCAAGGTCAAGATCTGGACAATAAATAGCTCTTGGCCAGAAAATAACCTCTTTCCTGACAAACAGGTCATCACGAAAAAGCTTTTTGCTAAAATGAGTCTATCTCATCATGATTTCTAAAGAAGCATGTCTATTACCTTGGGACCTCTGCCTATTCTATCACTGCCAAGACAGACTCCCACACATTTAACAAATGTTTCAGTTCATTGCAAGAATGGAGAGCTCTGAAAACAAGCAAAGCTACTGGCAACAAAGAGCAACGATGTAATGCACTCTATTTAACAAAAGCCGCTATCTTCAGGTGTTCATTCACGGTTTACCGATGTAGAAAACTGTTCATCGTTAACAAAAGCTGACACATAAGGCAAATGGATTAAAAACCCTGATAAACTTGTCTTTTCTTAATTGTAGGATTTCACAGAAAATCTCTCTTGAAGTGGCTTTAAGCAGAAAGGTATAAACCTCAGATATCCTCAGAAGCTAACTCAACAAAACCCCACATCTTTTATCTGTTTATCAGGTCAGCTGACAAAATAGGTTAAGCCTCAAACAAGCTTGAAATCAGATACGGAAACATCAAGGAACTTGATTTAGCCAACATTTGCAATAACAGCACAAACACGTCAATGTCTGAAAAACAGGAGACCATGTGGAGTGAGTCAATGGTGTTCTTCTTTTTAATTCGCCCAGAAGCATTTGAGAATTAAAGTTGCACTGGACAGTAACATTGCAACAATATAAAAAATTCCTAATGCATTGTGAGCAGCCGGAGGTCTTCATGGGTCCACTTGGATCCGAAAACCCGAGGTCCGACCCGAGAGGGTCTCTGGTAATTTAAAATAAATGTGCTTTTTTTCAAATGGACCCGATAAGACCTGAATTCTTTTAAACTATCCCGGATGTGTACTTGCACGTTCGCGTTAAGTGAGGAACGCACATAGAAAAGGAGCATACGTTTGTAACCTCGCCAACAGAAATCCATCTTATAGATTGAGATCGATCAGGAAAATCCACTCGCGCCATTACGCTGCGTATTCATGCAGGGCTTTTCTTTTTTGTGTGCAGAAGCCTTTCGCCGGAGATGAGGTTGCAGACAACACTAGCGAAGCCATGAATTATGCTATGATCATTAGTTATGCTTTAGATTAGCCATGAAAAGGTATTGATTTAATTTATCATCAAACTATCACGTTTATTTTTCAAATCCACTGGTCACAACTGAAATCCGAACTCAGAAATAACTTGTATCCATCAGGCAGGCAATAATATAAAGTAATAAAATTAAATAAATGTTAAACAAATGAAAGTAATGGAGAAGCGGCCAAATCAGTCAGCAGGACACCGGGATTTTCCTGACTGACTCCGGGGCTGCAGGCTGTGCACAGTCAATGCTGTTTACGTTCGGGTCCAGTCGGGTTCGAAAATAAATACAGTCGGGTCGGACTCGGGTCTAATTTCATCGGGTCGGGTTTTTCTTATTTAAAAAAATAATTTATGCACGTCGGGTCCGGGCAAGAAGTGATTCGGGTCGTGTACAGATTTTAGGACCCGAGAAGACCTGAGATCCGTTAGAGCTTCATTGTAGTGTTAGTTCATCTGCATGTATCATCATCAACAGAAACAAAATAACTCCTTTCCATTTCTATCATAAGCCATTAACAGTGATTTATTTGGCCAAGCAACTGCCTGAACACCACTCGTCACAAACCATTGCTACAGTTAACAACTCTTTACGAAATATAATGCTTTCACTGCGTAGAAACTTCAATTTTCTCAAAGTTAAAACTGACATTTTTCTGGCATGCATAAAACTATAATGTCATCTGGTTGATACTGCATTTCTCTTTTCTTTATTTACATATGAGGACTTGAGGTAATATAAAGTTATAAAAAGTAGTCAGATTGTTCCTTTTATATCATGCTAGATTGATTACAATATTGCAATAAAATTAGGGCTGTGCGATTATTCGAAATCGTCATAAAATCGCAATTTGAGCTTGCGCGATTTCTAAATCGCTTTATAGCACGATTTTCCGCACACACGACCTCCTGTATGCTATCCGAACCAATCAGAATGCAGCGCGCCTAAATGGAGCACGAGAACAGAACAGACCAGGCGGGCATACAAACGTAACGCCAGGTTCACACTAGTGTTCTCAAAAGACCCGGTACTTCAGTACCAAGTCGGTACTAAAAAAATGAAAATGTTACGGTACCAGGTTTTTTTTAAGTACCGGTGGTACCGAGTACCCGGTCAACCCGGTTCTTGATGCGCTATCTGAAAGGTGCGCAGATGCGCTCTCTTCATAAAAGCACTGAGACGTGGCGACATCAAAACGAGGAAACACACCAAACTAACAAAACACTTTAAAGACACCCAGATCAAATGAAAGAGTTCAAGCAGGTAAGTTTCATTTAAATTTTTAATATTTGTGTTTATAAACCGCCACAATATCAAAACTCACAGCCACAAATAGATTTTCCAAAAGGCTTTGACTTCGTTGAATAAACATGAGCACTGCACGTGTCAAAGTCGAAACCCGGTGCGGGTGTTTTTATATCACTGTATTTCTGAAGGAACCGACTGTCTTCAGAAAATTATGGATGTCATTTTCATTTCATCTTGCCTGTAATGCCTGAGCAGCGTTTGTGAGCTGAGCGCTGCTTTGTGTACAGCGTTACCGGGGAAACCTGATCTCTCGCGCTCTACAAGCGCCTCCTGCTGGCAGAAAATGAATTTGCATATATACGCTGCCACAAATAGAGTACACGTTCTGGGGGAAACACTGCATATTATTCAATATTTTAATCTGAATGTCGGCTTGAAATGAACGCTGTTATTGGAGTAGTTAATCGTTAGCATAATAGAATGCAGTTTCTTTATTAACTATTTAATGCTCATATAACTTTTATTAGGGTAAAAAAAAAAACAGGAGGACATGATGATATTTACAATTTTTACACACCAGAGGCTTTTAAATGAATTGTGAATCTAAAATGTGTGTTAGAGAATGTACAAATCATTAACATTATTTGTGTCATATCAGTCAGAAGTTCTGGGCTTTTTTTATTATTAGCTAGCTTAGTTGTTATTCTTGGCTGAATAGCTCTAGGTTTTCAAAAGCCCTTTAAAATTAAATATGTACACATTTTGAATTAAATGAAAGTGGTCAATTTTTAATTAGCATGTTTTTGTGTTTTGCTTTGGTACCGAAATTGGTACCGAGAACCGTGGATTTTCACTGGTATTGGTACCGAATACTGAAATTTTGGTACCGTGTGCGCTCCAGGAGCGGTGCGTCTGCAGCAGTCATGCTGCGATCGTTTCCACACGGAATCTATTTCTGCTGTGCTGCACGTGCTGAATTAAAGCGGCAGCGCATTATTCGCGGTAAAAATTAACATGGATTGATACGGAAATATAGTAATTACACCATAATTGCATATAATTAAAGTCTACTGTTTCACAGTCAACACATGGCTTTTTGGCTAGATTTAAAACAAGGAAAAGTGCACTTTTAGATAAACAAGGCAATAATAGATGACACTCGTGGTGGTAGTTAAACAAAGTTATATTTATTGAGTTTAAACGTGAATATGTCTATGAAAGATTGTATTACTGTACTGTGATAAAAGAGAATCACAATGCTGAAAAAGCATTTTCAGAAACAACGTTTGGATTTGAAATCAAAATAATGGATAAATGTTGTGTTTGTGGTAAACAGCCGCAGATCAGGAGCTGACTGCAAACGCATCCTGTGCGAAAGCAAAATGAGTCCGTGCGGCTTCTGCACCGCATACTCTTACTGTATACGCACTGCAGACGGAGTTTGTGTGAACTTGGCGCAACAAATCTAGTTCCAACATCTTAGGCAACGCCACAAAGAGCTCTATGACCAATGCATGGCAAAAAAATAATCCCTGGACACGGGATTTTTTATTCTTTTCCTGCCATATGTCTATTCTAGAGACATTTTGTTACACCTTTACTTAGTGATTATTTTGCCTTATGTCTGTTCTAGAGACATGTTACAGCTTTTTGATAAAGCACTAATTGGTTTTCTTTTGGAAATAGGTTTCAAATTCACACTGAATGCATTAATGACTGCATCAAAATTGTGATTAAAATCGAAATCGCAAAATTCATCAAAGAAATCGCGATAGGTTTTTTTTTGTCCACATCGCACAGCCCTAAATAAAATATAAGTAAACAGAAGTTTGTCTTTT